TGAGATGGGAAATAGGTAGGATGGCTCAGGCAGTCACTCTGAATAGACCTGAGCCTGGAGCACAGGACTCTTGACTGTCATTAAAAATATAATTCATCGCTGGGCACTGGTGGCTTATACCTATAATCCTAGCTATGCAGGAGGCTGAGATCTGAGGATTGTGATTCAAAGCCAGCCCAGACAGGAAAGTCCATGAGACTCTTCTCTCCAATAAACCACTCAGAAAACTGGAAGTGTCGCTGTGCTCAAGTGGTAGAGTGCTTGCCATGAGCTAAAGAGCTGAGGGACAACGTTCAGGCCCAGAGTTCAAGCCCTATGACCAACAAAAAATTAAATTAAATTAAATTAAAATACATATATGTATATATATATATATATATATATATATATATATTTTAATTCATAGCCAGGTTGCCAGTGGCTCATACCTGTATTCCTAGATACTCAGAGGCTGGGTGCTAAGGATCATAGTTTGAAGCCACCCTTGGGCAGGAAAGGCTATTAGCCTCTTGTCTCCAATTAACCACCAAAATTCAAGAAGTAGAGCTGTGGCCCAAGTGGTTAAGTACTAGCCTTGAGCAAAAAAGCTCAAAGACAGTGCTCAGGCCCAAAGTTCAAGCCCCAGGATTGACTTAAAAACTAGAGAGACAAGGAGCTGGGGGTTTAGCCCAGTGGAAGGGCGCCCGCCCAGCATGTGCAAGGCCCTGGGTTCGGCCCTCAGCCCTGGAAAAAAAAAAGAAAGAAAAAACTAGAGAGACAGAGAGAGATACTTCACAACTACACACTGTAAAAATTTAAATATTCTAAGTCTCCCTCTTGCCTATAATTTTCTATCTCTAGCCTCCCTCTCCAAAGGAAGCTTCATCAACCTTAAAAAATAAAATAAAATAGGGCTGGGAAGGTGGCTCAGTGGTACAGTGCTTGCCTTGTATGCATGAGGCCCTGGCTTCAATTCCTCAGCACTACATAAGCAGAAAAAGCTGGAAGTGGCGCTATAGCTCAAGTGGTAGAGCATTAGACTTGAGCTGAAGAGCTCAGGGACAGTGCCCAGGCCCAGAGTTCAAGCCCATGACCACCACCACCACCAAAATAATAATAATAATAATAATAATATACACAGAGCTACAGACAATATAGGATGCACAAATTGTGTATGTATGTGTGTCTGTCTGTCTGTCTTATACAAAAATAGTGGCCAACTTTTTACACCATTTGATATCTTGCTGTTATCAAATATCTTAGAGAAATTGCCCCATATTATACATCTGGAGTTTTATTAATTTCTTTTGAATGACTACCTCCCTATGGATGTTCCTGTGTCTTGTTTAGTCAGTTCTCTTCATGGACACAGGTACATTATTTTTAGGCTTGTACTGGTGGGAGTGGCTACAGCTGAGGCAGCTGGCTGTGAGGTCAACACCTGGAAGTGGGGTTCATGGGTCAAAAGCTCTGTGCTTGTTAAAAGAGGCTAGACGTTTCTAAAATGTTTCCCTGGACAGCATGTGGGACTCCCTGGTTTCTGGGCCACATAGAGAAACATTTTGTTCTCTGGAAGAACTGTTTTCATGGCAGTAAAATTGTGTTCTTTAAGCAACTGGGCCAGAGAGCAGTCGGCCACTGTGTTCTTAAGTCCACCATGGTCTCCAGAGCCAGAGAGAGGACACTGCAGCCTGAGGGCCACGTCTCCTCTGAAGCCTGGGCCAGGCCAGCACAGCATTATGCCACCACGCCCTGTCTCCGTCTAGTCCCACGCCCCTGGCATCCTGGAGAGGCACAGCAGGGGCTGGAATACCAGGTCTTAGTTTACATCACCACTCAGCTGGGTGGCCCCAGTTCCCTCAATGAGACAACTAGACCGAAGCTCTGTGGCTCACGAGGCAGGCCAAAGGAGTGCTGGGTGCTGAGGGAAAGCTGCCTTCATGACTTGGCCTGGTACTGCTCAGGTGGAGACCTGCTGGGCAGAGTGTCATCCTCTCTGCTCAGTCCTATCTCCTGGAGCGGCTTTAAGCTTTCCGGGAACATGTTTTTATTTTCTTTTTCTTTCTTTCTCCCTTCCTTCCTCCCTCCCT